CCGCCTCCCAAGTAGCTGGGACCACAGGCGCCCGCCACAACGCCTGGCTATTTTTTGGTTGCAGCCGTCATTGTTGTTTGGCAGGACCGGGCTGGGGATTCAAACCCGCCACCTTAGGTGTACGTGGCTGGAGCCTTAGCCGGTTGAGCTATAGGCGCCGAGCCTACTTTTCTTTCAAAAGTTTATTTAGCATCAAAAAGAGATGTCACTTAACACTACGGAACATACATCGAGGCTGGCAGGTCTGAATCTGGCCCAGGCCAGCTAAACAACAATGACAACTGCAACAAAAGATAGCCATGTGTTGTGGTGGGCACCTGCAGTCCCAACTACTTGGGAGGCTGAGGCAAGAGAATTGCTTAAGCCCAGGAGTTTTGGATTGCTGTGAGCTGTGACACCACAGCACTCTACTGAGGGCAACATAGTGAGATTCTGTCTCAAAAAAAATACTTCATTATTTGTGCTTGTAATTGGCTTTCATTTTTACACATGTTGGCAAGAGAAAAAAAAAGCATATGTCTGAAAGATAAAATAACTAAATTCTATGGAAACCTTTAAGATGAAAAGTGAAGATTATGTTAAAAGACTAGATTAGCATATTTAGTAGATTTAGGTTTTCATTTAACACTATTTAATCAAAGTTTTGTTTATTTATTTATTTTAGAGACATCACTGTGTTGCCGAGGCTGGTCTCAAACTCCTGGTGTCAAGCAATCTTCTCACCTCAGCCTCTCAAAGCACTAGGATTACTGGTGTGAGCCAGCCAGCTGGCCTGAGAAAATTTGCTGTGAACAGTACACAGGAGTGGTAGAGACAGGCTATTTCACAACATCTCACAATATAGTCAGTATCTGTCATATGGCTGGTCTCTGTAGAGGCATCCTTTGCTGTCCTCATTGAAGGTATCTTGTGTCTTGAGTTACTCCACCTCTCTCCGTCTCTCTTTGTTTTTTTGAGGCAGAGTCTCACTTTGTTGCCCTCACTTTGTTGTAGAGTGCTTTGGCATCACAGCTCACAGCAACCTCGAACTCTTGGACAAAAGCGATCCTCTTGCCCCAGCCTCCCAAGTAGCTGGGACTACAGGTGCCCTCCACCACAATGCCTGGCTAGTTTGAGAGACTGGGTCTCACTCTTGCTTAGGCTGCTCTGGAGCTCCTGAGCTCAGACAATCCACCCGCCTCAGCTTCCCAGAGTGCTGGGATTACAGGTGTGAGCCACCATGTCCAGCCTACTCCACCCCTCTTGCCCATAAGAATGGTGAGTCTCCTTACTGAGTCCAAGTCCATAACTGTGATCATCAGCATCACTCTGGGCTGGGTAGCTATAGCTGTTATCATAGGAATCATAACTCTGTTCATAATAAGCAGTGCCATATCCATCATCACAGTCATGTTGCTCATAGGTCCCTTGTGTTGGGTGTGGCAGTGGAGGTCTGTACCCAGTTAGGGGGCCTCCTCTTGCTCTGGGAATAAGATTCTTTCTTTCCTTTTTTTTTTTTTTTTTCAGTTTATGGCCAGGGCCTGGTTTGAACCTGCCACCTCCAGTATATGGGGCTAGCGCCCTACTCCTTGAGCCACAGGCACCACCCTCTTTTCTTTTCTTTCTTTCTTTCCCTCCTTCCCTCCCTTCCTCCCTCCTTCCTTCCTTTTCTATCTCTTCTCTCTCTCTCCATCCCTCTCTCTCTCTTTCTTTCAACAGAGTCTCATTCTGTCACCCTGGGTAGAGTGTCCTGGTGTCATAGCTCACAGCAACCTCAAACTCCTTGGCTCAAGCAATCCTCCTGCCTCAGCTTTCCAAGTAGCTGGGACTACAGGCATCCCCTACAATACTTGCCTAGTTTTTCTATTTTTAGTAGAGACAGGGTCTTGCTCTAGCTCAGTCTGGTCTCTGAACTCCTGAGCTCAGATCATCCACTAGCCTCCACATCCCACAGTGCTGGGATTACAGGTGTGAGCCATCTTGCCTGGTGCCTTCTCCTTTTTGACAACTGCAGGACATGTATGAAGGAGGGGTCCAGAGAGTGCCCTGCCATCAGCTTGGAGGGTACTTTTCAGACTCACTCATGGGCTTCTGGGGCCTGGATGTGGGCTCCAGGTGTACAGGCTGTGGCAGCCCAGCGATCCCCGACTCTGGCCGTGCCTTCAGTAGTGGCAGCCAAGTCTGGCAAGTGCCTGGGCGGCAGTGACAGCCACATAGAAGTGGGAACCATGGCCACTGAGCAACCAGCACCAGGGGGCCCCTGCGCTCCAGCCATGAGCAGGGACTGTGGTGACCTCGCCAGTCCATGCCCAGGCAGCTGTGTCCCCGCAACCCGCGTCCCCAGCAGCATGGATCCGGGGACAGACACCGCAAAGGCAAACAAGCTGGGCTGCCAGCCGGGCAGCAGTGACAGTATAGTCCTGATTGCCAGGGCCACCGAGTGCCCCACGTTAGTGGACACCACGCTCCAGACACCTCAGGCATTGCCTGGCAGGCCCTCAGGCGGGGCAGGTGCCCCACTTGACTATCCTGAGGCCATGGGGTGAGCCCTGCCCCATGGGCTCAGGGACATTCAGATGGTTATAACCACCCTTCCATCTACAACTAAAGGAATATCTTTGTGCATATCTCTCTGCCCACTTGTGTCTTGTTTTTGTTTTTTGAGGCAGAGTCTGACTCTGTCACTCAGGTTGGCATGCAGTGGTATCATCATAGCTCACTGCAGCCTCAGACTCCTGGGCTCAAGTGATTGACCTGCTTTAGCCTCCTGAGTAGCTGGGACTAGAGGTGCCTGCCACCACATCCAAGTCATTTTTGAATTTTCTGTAGAGATGGGGTCTCACTATGTTGCCCAGGCTGGTCTCCAATTCCTGGGCTCAAGTGATCCTCCTACCTTGGTCTTCCAAAGTGCTGGGCTTACAGGCATGAGCCACCTCACTCAGTGAGATGTTGTACTTAAAACAGAGTCCCAGTAGTAGAATTGCTAGGTCCAAACATGTATGCATTTAAAATGATGTTAAATCATCCCATTGCAGTGTGTAATGCAGCCTCTTTCCCACATCCTTGTTACCATTGACAAGCCCTTCTTGTTCATCTTGCCAGCTAGACCCTGTCTTTCTGAACATCTCTGGGTTTATCTTTGTCTCAGGTACCCCTGACCTTGTAGGGCTCAGCCCCTCCCTCCACTCCCTGTCTATATCTCTTGCATTCAAAGACATAAGTCCCTGCCTGTTTTAATCTGGCACCCTCTCAACTTCCCCAGGACTTATTTCTGTGTGTCTAAGGCTCTACCTGTCTCTTTGTCTTCCTCGCCTCTCTGTTCTCCCCCTCTTTATCTCCCTGTCACAGTATCTCCCTCCTGGCTGGGCCTGATGACTATTTCTCCCTGAGCACCTGCTCTGTCACTCATGCTAGTTTGGGTTCCCTGCCCTGGGGCCTATTCTGGGATATATGTGGGCATTTGGGAAGTCCTGGGCAGACAAGGGCCACAAGGCCTATAAGCAAGAAGTACAAGAAAGAGCGACTTTTCTTGGCCTCAGCACAGGGCTCAGCTGGGTGGGCTCCCAATACCAGCCTTGACCACAGGAGTGGGGTTCCCCTTCCCTCCCACCACCTCCCAGGCAGTGAGTAACTTCTCTCGTCTCTGCCCAGAGTGCACCCATACCTGCACAGACCAGCTTGTCACCACGTTTGCCTCAGTCTTAGGGGATCACAACACTCCCAAATCGCAGCTCCTGCCTGGTTTGGGACTGGCGGAGAAGAAAAGAGGAAGCAGCCGTCTCCTTACCCAGTCAGCGGAGCTGGGCAGGACGCCCCACCCTTGCGGACCGGCAGGCGTCTGTCCGGCTCCGCCCCGCCGCCCACAACTCCGAGGCCGGCGCCAGGCCCTGCCGGCCCTCCCACCGAGACTCCAGTTTCCCCGCGCGGCGTGGGGCTGGGCTCTGGCCCAGCCGGATGAGGCTGTGGGAGATGACAGACCCGTGAG